CCTGCCGCGTGAACTAGGTGAGGTGGGTCCTGGTGCAGTGCTCGACAGTGGCCCAAATATAAACCACTATCCCACGGGGTCCAGCAGGCGTGCTCACATTCAAACCTCTCACAGTAGACCATGGCTGGCCGACGGTGCCCTCGCAGTAACCCCCACCCCCCTCTACCTCGCATTGACTTCTTCTGTACGAATCTTCCGATGGGCGGGTAGAGGAATTCTGCCTACGCTCCGAACACGCGCAGGTCCGAACGATCCCAAAAACCGACACCGCAGCCCCCCTAGAGAATAACAGTAATAAAAATAAATACAATAATAATAATCAACAAGGATTTGCAGCAATACCTCAAGGCGAGGGAAGGAAAAACAAGGGGAATATCAATGCCGCATCGGCCCCGCCGTGCTTTCCTGCGATCAGCAAAACCATGGGGGATAGCTCCACTAATTGCCTAGTATTGACTGGCATCTAAATAAAAAGATACTGCGCGATATGCGGATCTACCGGAATGCTTAAAAACCATATTGTTGTCGATACCGTCCTCCACCCATACGGTCAAGTCACAAGCGGGCACACCAATCATCAGACAACCTTTTAATCTTAGTTTAATCATAACTAAAAATTTGGTCGGCAACCACGCCGGCACTACAATCAACAAGAAGAGAGATCACGCACGCCTTAAATCTGCGCGCCCACACACTCTCTACCCTAGTCAACCATTCAGACAACGTAAACAACAAACACTGCCACAACCCACGTGATGTACTCAGACCTTAAACTGCTTATTTTCTATCACTTGCAAAAAACAGGGCGGATACCCTTGTAAGGTTATTCGCACCGACAACGCACTGGGAGAGTAGCTCCTGGTGCTAGCATCGACATTACCACCAGCCGTAGCAGATCAGTCGATAGCGGGAGTGAGAGAAGCGAAGGCGCTGATGAGACCAATGCTCTCATGCGCGAGTACTTTGTCCAAATGGCGGAGGAACGAAGAGCTAGAGTTGAAAGGGAACCAGAAGAGGACAGACAGCGAGAAGAAGAAGTTTGGATAAATAAGGAAAATAGGAGGATGATGAGGCAGGAAGTTAGGAGGAAACAAGAGTACGAAAGGGTCGTGAGGTTATTGCGAATTATTCGAGGGGAAATTAAGAAAGAGAACCTTTCAGGATAGACTAGACTCGAACCATCGTGAGTTGCTTGGTTGGTGTGTCGGCGGTAAAAGACTCTGTCAGTTATGGATTGTTAATCGTGGCAAGACTCGAACCGTCGCAAGTTGGATTTGTGTGGAGTGGTGTGGTGACGACAGTTGATAAATGGATTATTAACGAAGGATAGTCCCTCTTTCGCCGGTGAGGCATCACCGTGACAGGCGGTTGGCGGGATGGCATGGTCGACTTCCGACCACGGGGCCGATGGTTTAACATGGTCGCATGCTTCACATCATTTCATTTGTGCTTTCATGATATTTCACGATCGACCTTTCACTTGGTTGACGTGTCGAAAAATATGAAGATGCTTGATGTGTACATACAACGTTTGCTTCGGCTTGTGTGCTGTTGACTACAAGGCGGTTTCTGACTGCGTATGGTTTTCAATGCTTTCCTTTCCAAGTACTGGTGGTTGAACTTTCCTTCTTTGGGTCAATTTTGGGTCTCAAGCAACTTGAATATCAGTTGAACACATTTCTCTCTCTCTCTCTCTCTCTCTCTCTCTCTCTCTCTCTCTCTCTCTCTCTCTCTCTCTCTCTCTCTCTCTCTCTCTCTCTCTCTCCATAGCCCGTGGTGCATAATGGCCCTCGAGCACCTAGCTCGCCTGGCCCCTGCCACCCCGTGAGGGGTACATCCATTGACCTAGCTGGAGGACCGTTCCTGGACAATCCCGCGCAAAATCCCATGGAACAAGGGCGAATGGGAAGGAGAGGACCAGCCGAGAGACACGTTTTGCCCATCTCTATTGACCGTAAGTAGGAGGCTCCCGCTCCCTGACACCCCCCCCCCCCCCCCGCCCTCGCCCGCCCGCACCGTTGGGAAGAGGTATATCGGCAACCTTTGTTCGGGAACCGATAGTTGACAGATAAAAAGGGTTGCATCGAGTCAAGCTCTCGCTATGGAAAAGCTGGGTCAAACGTGGAGTGCTTAGAATAGGGGATCTTTGGGACCAGGAGAGACGAGACTGGAAGACAGCCAACCAACTACGAGAAACTCTGCATCATTGCCACCATGTGGGGAAACACTTGGACGATCCGATTGAGACTGTTCCACTAGCATGGTATCGAATCCTCAAACAAGGACCCTCCTTCAAAGAAGGAGATTGGGTAGCATCCAAGGAGGCACCCACCACATATTGGTAAAGTTCATACGGTAGACCCCCGAATGATCCTGGTGGAGCATTATGTGAGCACACAAAAAGGGACACTAGAAGGAAGCACAACCCCCTTCGAACAGGTAGAAAAAACCTCAGTTTATCGGATTCGGGTCATGGAAGGGAGTGGGGAGAAGGTGGTTTACCAACCACAATTGGCCGTTCAGGAACTGGCCTTACACCCAGTCGAATGAACTTGGTTGCTCCCCAGAGAAAGGGGGGGCTGCACCAGGCCATATAACCCTCTACCGTCCGTTAAAGCAGGGGGGGGTTCTACAAAACAAAAAAAGAGAAGTCCAACCGCCCAACAGCAGGGAGATGCTAGTATGGTTTCAGTATGGCTCAGGGGGAGGGAGGAACTAGCGTGTAGCTGTGTATCTGGCGCCGGATTCAGGGTGAAGAGGTTCCAATATCCTGCTCAGTCAACCCCCTGGATCCCAGGGTAATCAATGTTGGAAGGAACACTCCACAATTTTTTTCTGATGTACTCCAAATTCAGTCTGTGTAAGGGATGCTGGACCCGCTTTCCAGCAGGTGATGCTCCCCAGTGTCCCACCAATAGATGGAGCCTCTCCAACGGGGCTAGTGGTGTCTGCTCCTATCAGCACCACTAACACTGGTGGGGGTGTTTAAAAAAGAGTTTCAAGGTCTGGACCCGCCCTCCAGCAGGTGCAGCTCCCCACCAATGGAATGCAGCCACCGGGGTATGCTCTTTTCATCACGCCTCGCTGTGCTAACTGATGTTAAGGAAAAAAAAAAAAA